GTATCTCATCTCGTTGAATCCGAGTTCTCGTTGAACCCGAGCTTGTAAAATCCGAGTTCCACTGTGTGTGACCTTATTGTGTTGCAAGTGCTGTAAAACACGTATTAATTTATAACTAAAAATAAACAAACAGCGGGTGGTTGGATGGCGCCACTGGCGAGTCCTACTTCTACTTCTTTCTTTACTTTCCCTTTGTTATTTCTGTCTGTCTGTCTTACTTGTTCTCAGCACTAATATGAACATTATTATTATAATACAGTCACGAGTCACAGTCAAATTCGGATAAAACAGGACAGATGGGACCGGCAGTTTTTCCCTGTTATAAGCAATTCTGTTATAACCGTTTATCAACCTCAAGGGAAACAGTCAGTAGGCCTACCATTGCACCTTCAGCTTAACTTACTTTACTCGATTAGTCGGATTACTGCAGATCCTTTAATCTGGTAGGCTTTTTTTTGCTGACACTGAGACGGAATCGATCAGTGACCCCAACACAGTGTGTTTGAAAGTTTGTTTAGGCAAGCGATCATACAAACAGGCGAAATGTAATCCTACTTGTATTGATTGAGACAAATTTTAATAATTTGACTGATCGAAAGCAGGTTAAAAATAAAGTTAAAAAACTACACCTCCAGTCTGTGGGAGACTCACTGGAAGAATCAAACCAACAACAAACTACATACACAACATAAGCCCAAACTGGGTCAAAGATGGGTCCAAGAAAACCTTCTTAGGACTTCTCCAGAAGGGGCGAAGTCATTTTTACTCGATTGCGCATCGGACACACGGCCCTGACATAAATTTATACAGTCCTTCAGCGAGATGAGAAGTCGGTCTGTGTCAGATGCGACACAGATTTTACCATTAGACACATTTTAAAAGAATGTCTAGACTTCGGGAAGGAAATATTTTTTAGGTGCAAAAAATTGCAAGATCTTTTTTCCGTCGTTGACCCCAACAGAATTCTGGATTTCAGGCCATTGGCCTTTACGGAAAGTTGTGAAAAACGTTAAAATTTAAGATTTTATTAAAAAAGTTATTACATTTTTTTACCACAGATTCTTTTTTTTAGCATTTTAACATTTTAATAGAAATATTAACCAAAATCACGCTGTGCTGTGAACTGTTGCGAATAAAACCAACTCGTTTTGCGTGCTCATATGACCGTATGGAGTTACGAGCGCCGTAAAACTCTTACTGAAACAAACAAAAGCAAGTTCATGCGCTGCAAGACCTCTGTTATTCCGAGTCTGCACAGATCGAACCCTGCAGGCCTAGTTATAGTTATAGTTATAGTTATAGTTATAGTTATAGTTATAGTTATAGTTTAGCCAGGTTTTATTACTAACACTTAGTACTTAGTAGAGAGAAAAAAAAAAAAAACACGGGTATTTAATTTATCACTGTTGTCCCCCAAGTTCTTGACTGTAAAAACAGAGACGTTATTGTAATACATTGTAAATCAAATGGGCTTATAATTATTATGACTATATATTATTATTCGGTGTGCTTTTCTTTACTCAAACTCGAACAAACAAACAGTGGGTGGTTGGATGGCGCGACTGGTGGTAGTGGTTTAAGGTCCTACTTCTTTGTCAATACTGGTAGGTCCTTCTTCTTAACCTCTTGTTTCTGTCTGTTTGATTTTTGATTTTCCCCAGCACTAGATGACCATTATTGATATTGTGTCGATGTGCCTCTCTGTACTAAAAAAACAAAACAAAACAAGAGACAAAAAAACCTTGCTGCTGTCCTTTGCTTTTGCCTTCACTTCACAAGGATCTGTTTCACAGTCTGCACTGTCTTCTCTTTCAAAGAAGAGACATATATATAAATAATAACAATAATAATAATGAATTAATAATACATGTAATAATATTATGTTTCAATTTCAAGACTCTTCCTTCTACTTCTATATATATTTAATATATATATATATAATATATATATTAATTATAATGTATCTGGATACACCCGCCAGAACTACTGTGTGATTCAAGTGATTGGCTCTCTCACAGCAGTGCATGGTCAGCTCTTTAGACAACGAAAATCTTATTTTGACATGCATGATGTTTTTTGTTAGTTTTTAATTTTAAATTATAAATCTCAATAAATTTGACGTATCCCACAGATTACGAAATTAATTAATTTTGATCCTGGGACTTCAAAGTGCCGAACGAATTCTCTTTTTTTTTAAACTGCCAGAACTGTTGTAGATCTATTGCATAACTTTCACATCCGGTTCTTCATTAGTGGTGTGCGAGTAAGCGAAAAATCTTGGTCGAGTAATGATCGGTTAAATGCAAAATTGTTCGGTTAACCGATGAAATTGACCGAAAAAATTTTCTCGACCAAGAAATCTAGATCGAGCAGGGGTCAAAAGTCATCGCAGCTGCGCTGTAAGCACGCATTTTTCAGCTGATGTCTGGATCTAAAAATAGCCTAGCTTTTGGTCTTCGTCGCTTCGCGCGGTATAAAAATAAGAGTCAAATATATCGAGAAGATGCGTGCAAAGTTAGTTAATTTGTTTAACATGTATTTTGATTGCTCCTTTCGGGAAAATTGAAGAATACTGGACCACTCGTATTATTGCGAGAGAATGGGGGTGGGGGGGGTGGGGGGTTCTAAGCTAGGCCTACCTGTGTGAGAGGGATTAAAAGTGGATAAAAACTGGGGAAAATCATGAATTCCTAAGGTTGTCGAGACATAGATATAGGCAAAAGTTGTCCGAATCCGCTGGTCCGGTAGGCCTGTTCTTCAATCTTACCTCCTTTTTTTTGTTTCTTCGCTCAGTTTCCAGCCCAGATCGAGCATATTTTATTAATAGGTTAGGCTAATTCATTGTGCTGGTATTTATTAAATGTGTTTTTCAAGAAAAGTAAAGATCTAGGCACAGAAACAAAAATCAGCACAGTAATACAGAATAACAAGTTGCAGATCAAAGTGGAAGCGTTGAAATTAAGTAAAAAGAGGAAAGCATCCAAATTACTAAGATTGAGAATGTGAACAAGTCTAGATCGGACGAAATATTCTGGCTTAAGAGGTCAGAATGAGAGCAGAGAGAAATGAAGAGGAACTGAAATAAAGACTTGGTTTGTATAGATGCCAGTGGGTCACTGGTTTGCATGATATAAATCAGCTGATCGGACAAAGTGAGAACAACAACAACACTAGATCTAGCCTACAGACGATGCGTTTCAAGGTCATGTAGGGCCAGACGTAGATCTAGTAAGCCTACGATTCTGCTGCTGGCATGTTGGAGGGGCCTGGGTTTACGGGTTTTAATACGTTTTTATATTGTTGTTGCTGTACTGTCAGTAAATCATTTAGAAAATGGTACCAAAGATGCTTTTGGAAGAGAGCGACCTAGCGCGAAAAGCTCGCGCATACGCTTATCAACGAAAAGACCCTCATATTAAACCTGGCTAGATCTAAAAATAAAATGTTCCGTTATGAATATTGATAAGTTGACACACTTGTCTCGCTTTCGTGCTGGTGGCGCGAGACATTTGCCAAGTTGTTGGTTTTCCAGGAGCACAGCCATTTCAATGTCTTTTACCCTCAGTGCAGTTAAAAAACCGCGACAGTCTAAAAATAAAGAGTGGCTGCTGGGTTTGACATTCAACAAGATTCCCAATTGTGTATCTGATAGTAAATATACTCTTGGGCAGCTATTTCCTAATTAGAATATACGACTTTATTCTATTTTGACTAATAATATGACTTTAAAATATGTTTGGCATTTGTTTGTCAGCAACAAGTAATTTTAGCGTTTGATTGCTGTTTGTTCGAACAAATTTCATCATTGCCAGTTTGAGGTTTACCCAGGAGCCAGGAGCACCATTATCCCAAAAGCCTAAACGAACACAAAACCGCGACCGTCAACAATTGAAAAGGATACTAGCTTTTGTACTGAATAATGAGCTCCCAGTTCTACTATTATATTAAAAATATATCTTACAGAATTATAACTGTTATTTCACTCTTTTTAAAGCTAGAAGTTTGCCGTATCTAAAAATGAGGCAAAGATAAATATTACGTTTCGCGTTTGTTTGATAGTGACAATCAGTTTTGGCGTTTGATTGATGTTTGTTCGAGTAAGTTTCATATATCTGATTGCCTGTTTGAGTGTTACCCAGGAGCACCATCCTCGGGAAAGCCTAAATGGCGAACACAAAAACACAACCGTCAAAAACTGAAAATGATACAGGTTTTTATACTGGATAATTAAAACAGATTCTACTATCATGATAAACATACATTTTATGAAATCGTAAATGCTTATTGCATTTTGTTAAAAGTTTGAAGTTTGCTGGTTTTCAAAACGATGCAATGACAAAATATGGGTTTCGCGTTTGTTTGATAGCGACAATTAATTTTGGCGTTTGATTGATGTCTTGCTCGGTCAAGAAACCATTTTGGTCGGTTTACTCGACCAAGAATCTTGCTCGGTTAATCGAAAAATTTGATCGATCAATTGCACCACTATTCTTCATTCTTCGTTAAATTAGCCTAGGTTCTAGCCTTATCTTCAATCTTGAATCTTCATCACTTATCATACCATTGCCAGAGATGGCCATTCGCCAGAGCCGACAAAAGCCGTTCCTCCTGCAATTTTGACTTTGAAGTTGCTTTTTAACATCAACATAGATCTAGTTTATTTTTTTTAGCTCCTGATCAATTGCGGGTAAATTTTTACTTTCAGTCCCGCACACAGTTGTACTGCTTCTTCGTCGGGGGTCAAATTCTTTAGCCTATGTTGTGATCTTCAGGACTTCAGGCCTAATAGAAGTCAAGTTAGATTTTAGTGCACTCTGGTACTGGTAGATCTAGTAGTAGATCTAGATCTAGATCTAGATATCTAGAATCTAGATCTCTATAACTCGGAGGACAGAACCAAGACCAAGTTTGGAACAAATTTTTTAGTCTCTTCTTTTATTATTAGGCCTATCATAGAGGCTATGTTGAAACAGAAAGAAGAGGGAACAGACATGATTGTTTTCCTCGGGACGTATTAACCACGACAGTCTTATGATGGAAAAAGAACTGTCATGTTGTGAACTTTTCTGTGTACCGGATATAGATAAAGACATAAAGCCTGATGTTTCTCTGGTTGTAAAAAGTCTTAAAAGTGAACCTGGGCTCGGTTCATCTACATCTAGGTCTCTTTGTAGCAGTGATAGGACTGATAGAGATGTAAAACCTGACATTGAGAATGTGAAGACTGTGGTAAACGAAGAGTGTGGTTCTAATTCTGTGCTTGATCTGGGAGAGGAAAAACCAGCTGCTGTTGTTGATAGTAGAAGTTTTGATGGAAAAGTAATGCATAATTTTGAAGTACCAAGCAATGCAACTGATGATGTCCGACAGACTGTTGAAAACAAATGTATTGACATTGAAATTAAAAATGAGCCTTTGCTTTTGTTTCCCGAAGAAGACATAAAAACTAAAATGAGTCCGAAAAGTGCTGATGATGTAGATCTAGAAGACGAACCGCAGTTTCCTGATCATAGTCTGGAATTGAAATCAGAAATAGAGAATTATTATGTGAAGCAGGAAGTGTTGGAACAGGAGTGTGGATCAATGTTGGATCGTTCCAGTGAGGCTGGGGGAATACAACTGCAAATCTGTGATGTGAGGAGTTTGTGTGTGGAGCAGAGTTCAAACCCAGACACTGATGCTGTTGTGTCCACGGTCAGCGGCTCTACTTCTGATGATCCAGCTCTTTTGAAGACCGGCATCGCAAATGCTCAATGGGGCATTGAGGATCAAGGTAAAAAAAAATGTTATATTTATCGAAGTGTTATACAGACCCGGTAACCGGGAACAAAGTCACGAAGTATACAGACCCGGTAGGGGAAATCTTTTGTGATTTTGGAAAGTTTCAGCGCCCAGTCCCGGAAGTGTGTGTGTGTGTGTGTGTGAGAGAGAGAGAGAGAAGGGGGGTGGGGGTAGAGAACACGAGGGGGAAGAGCCGGGAATATATCAGGATGCTTGAGGGCAAAATTGGGATGATGAGTGTTAGGTCTGGGAAAGGTGTAGGGAAGGAACACTATCAACGCAGATCCTGAAACTCACGATTGGAAAAGAAAAAAAAGGCATGGGTTTGTGCCATGATGATTGGTCATCAATGTTAACCTCTCTTTGCTCACCATCGGTCTATAAACCCTTCCAATCCAAGGGTCAAGTCAGTTTAAAGGAGAGACCATCTTACTGATTATGGGCTTCAAGACGGGTCACAGTGGATTCTCCCCTTAGTGCTTTGCCTAAGATCCCATTCACCTAAGATCCTGTGTTTTCCTTACTCCCAATCAGCACGGGGATATTAGACAGAGACCACTGTACTGTAATATCTAAATTTAGAGACAGGTGGAAAGTGTTTGTTCGTCCCCTATACCCTGATGCAAGGTGAGAAAGGCATTGATGATGGTACTGAATAAAAACCTATAAGTATTTAAAAACAAGGAAAGGTAGATAACGTGCATATTATTTGTGTCTTTTTTCAGGTGGGATTCCTGACAAGCGCGCACCCTCCACACACCCAGCGACACAGCCATACCTTATGGGGAAGGATACTTTTGGGACAGGTCAAATGATGATTGATCAAATAGAAGTTGACTGTGTCTTGGAAGAAACTACATCTTTTATCCATGACCCAGACAAGAAAGTCTTTCATCCCCACATTAGCAGAGAGTATGATAAGGACATATCATGCAGCAAAAGTGCAGTAAATGGTAGTTGTGGCCTGAAGCAGAGAGGTTGCACTTCTGAAATAACGACGACAGTGGCAAATAATACCAATGTTATGGACCTTTCTTGCGCTCCTTCTTCTAGTGTTACAGCTCCTCAGCTGCCCACAGAGACCCATACTGGACTAGACAGCGCCACTCCACCTGTTGGACTCAAGTTTATGACTTTTAGAAGAACTAGAGCTGGAGAAAAACCGTACAAATGTGAAGTTTATGTTTTACGGTTTGGAAATAGAGGCCAGCTAAATTCTCACAAGAGAACACACACAGGAGAAAAGCCTTACAAATGTGAAGTTTGTGCTGCAGCATTTGCAAGAAGTTCCGGCCTGAAACAACACAAAAGAAGACATACTGGAGAAAAGCCTTACAAGTGTGAAGTTTGTGATTTACAATTTGCACAGTGTGGCAGCTTAAAGATTCACAAAAGAACACACACAGGAGAAAAGCCTTACAAGTGTGAAGTTTGTGATTTACAATTTGCACAGTGTGGCAGCTTAAAGAGCCACAAAAGAACACACACAGGAGAAAAGCCTTACAAGTGTGAAGTTTGTGGTTTAAGGTTTGGGAATGGTAGCGCCCTGAACCGACACAAAAAAACGCACACTGGAGAAAAACCTTACATGTGCGACGTTTGTGCTGCAGCATTTGCAAGTAGTTCCGGCCTGAAACAACACAAAAGAAGACATACTGGAGAAAAGCCTTACATATGTGAAGTTTGTGGTTTAGGGTTTGCATGTAGTAGCGGCCTATGGAATCACCAAAAAGTACACACCGGAGAAAAGCCTCACAAATGTGAAGTTTGTGGTTCAGGGTTTGCCTTTCGTAATGACCTGAAACGACACCAAAGAAAACACACTGGAGAAAAACCTTACAAGTGTGAAGTTTGTGGTTTGTTATATGCCGACAGGAAAGGGCTAAAGATTCACAAAAGAACACATTCAGGAGAAAAGCCCTACAAATGTAAAGTTTGCGATAAAGGGTTTGCACACAATAAGACTTTAAAACATCATGAAAAAACACACACATGAAACACGCATTATAAGTGTGATGAAGTCTGTGGAAGTGTGTTCGTGCAGATAAGTAATCTAGAGGACCATAAAAGAACACACATAGTAAGGACAGGAGAAAACCCGTACAAGTGTGAAATCTGTGGAATTGTGTTCTTGCATGTGAGTAGTGTAAAAATTCACCCAAAAATGCACACTGGAGAGAAGCCTTACAGATGTGAAGTTTGTGGTGCAGGCTTTGTGAACAGTGTTCAGCTAAAGACTCACCGAGGAATACACGCTGGAGTGAAGCCCTGCAAGTGTGACGTTTGCGGTGCAGGATTTGCAAATGGTGACGACCTGAAGCAACACAAAAGTAGACACGATGGAGAAAAATGTTACAAGTGTGAAATCTGTGAAACTTCGTTCTCGCGGAAGAGCAATCTGCAGATTCACAGAAGAATACACACTAGAGAAAAGCCTAATAAGTGTGACGACTGTGACGTAAGGTTTGCAATATGTTAACACCCTGAAGCTACACAAAAGAACGCTCACAGGAGAAAAGCCTTACAAGTGTGAAATGTGTGGAATTATGTTCTCTCACTTGGATACTCTGAAGTCTCACCAAAGAACACACACAGGAAAAAAGCCTTACAAGTGTGAAATCTATGGACTTGGGTTCTCACAAACGGCTAGTCTAAAGGCTCACCAAAGAATACACTCTGGAGAAAAGCCTTACAACAACAAGTGTGAAGTTTGTGGTGCAGGGTTTGCAAACAGTAGTCAGCTAAAGATTCACAGAAGAACGCACATACGGGGAAAAAACATAATAAAAGTGAAGTTTGTGGTGCCTGTGTATGTAATAAAAACACAAAGCGACACAAAAGAAGACAGTAAGGTGGAGAACGGTTCATCTGAGATGTCTGCGGTGTAAGTGTGTGCAGTCAGTGGCAGCCTGTTTGAACATCGACAATTGTATGCAAGAGAAAATCTCTGTCTATTTTCTAGGCAAGATCTTAGAAAGTGGCAGAAGATTACATATGGCGTAAAGTTAGTAAGAAAAAGTTTTACGCATATGTGAAGCGTGCTGACAAAATGAGTTACTTCTCGGATTCAGGCCTTCAGGAAATAGATACATCACACTTATAGGTGAAGTTTTTACAATTTATAAGTATGAAATAAAAGGTATGTTATACTTAAAGAATATGGCATCAATAGAAAATCTACAAATTTGACCCCAGTGTCAATTTCTGGCCAATATCTCCATTTGTGGACTGCGAGAAGTAACTCATTTTGTCAGCACGCCTCACATATGAAGTTTGTGGTAGGCTACAAGGTTCATAGAGGACAACATGACAAATGATATTATTATTATTATTACTATCATTTTTATTATAATTATTATTTTTAGTGTGAAATTCAAGATCGCAAATAGAAAGTCGCAGAAGATCACATGTTTAGTAAGAAAAACCTTTACGCGTGTGAAGTTTGTGGAGCAAGGTTCGTAGAGGACAATATTATATCGTATATATCTATATCTATATTATAATTATAATTTTTGTTTTTAGTATGAGATTCAAGATCGTTAGAAAAAGGCATTACTATTATTATTGTAAGAAAAACCTTTACGTATGTTGAATCGTGAAGTTTGCAGTGCAAGGTTCGCAAAGGACAGCAGCCTTCAGAGTCTCAAAAGAGCAAGCGACTGGAGAAAAACCTAAGAACACAAATGGGACTTGTCAAACTTATGTTTAACTCACTTCAGACGGGTCACACAACAGTTGCGTGACCCCCGCCATGACGCTCGCGTCGGGTCTCACAAGCCCTGCGTGACCAACTTTGGAATTTTTTTTTAGCTCTACAAATCACGCACGGATCGCGAGACCCGCCTCGTACCCTTGTTTGGCCAAGCCTGAGCTACTTAGACTTCGTTTCGTATCTCTGGGGCTGGTAGTTTTTAAGTTATTGAAGGTGAAGGACAGTGACCCAGACTGGGGTTGAACAGACCGGAACTCGCGCTTTGTTTTTTTCTATACAGCTCATAGTAATCCGACAGTCGCGTCGTAGTAACGGTCGAAGAAGTCGCATGAACAAGAATCACATAATTTCGCCGTTTTCTATACTTCTGTGCGTTTTACTAGTTCTAGTGTCTCAGAATATGATGTGTCTAATAGTTAGGATCCTGGATAAGTACCCGAACACGGCCCGAGTCGTAGTTCTAGGGCTAGATCTAGCACTAGTACCGGTGTTGTTTTTCGCGCAACGAAATCACAACGTCGTGCCGTACATCTGTCTCATGTAATTCAGTGTATGGGTCTGAATCAATGCACAGACCAGCTTTTATATTTTCACCAAACACTTGCACATGTATACAAATCAAACCAGAACACTTTGAACTTTTATTTTTGTTGTTGCAGTGAATTTCATTCTACTTGTCACGTCTCTGGAAATTTTTCGAAAATCAAATTCATGCCAATTTTTAAAAAATCATACAAATTAAAGTATTAGACTTAGACAACTTTAGTTTTTTGTATTAGATTAAGCTTGAATGTTACTTTACTATGTCAAAAAATGATTACAATAGGGTAATTCTGAGAGTTGTGGTGATTTATTGAAATACCCCCCAAAACGCCAGTCTTCAACGCTTGTGGCTGGTGAAAGGGCCCAGTCGCAAGTGAGTTAATGAGACTGCTAATACCCAATGACAGAGACGTTAAAAGTCAAGGACGAGGTGACTAAAGATTTCTTCATGTGAATGTTGTTAGTTACGGCTTGTTTGCTAGTGCTTAGAGGGAGTGATTGACAGATCCTATTTTTTCTTTAGGCCCGAGAAGTCTGTTGCAGTCATTCTCCTGGCTGGGTGACCAGATGGGGTATTTTGTACTGCTGGCTGTGTGACTTCAAAGTGTTAAGAGGCACCTGAAATTTGGTGTGTAGGTTCGAATTGGGGTGAAACAAGGCAGAAAGAAGAATGTTTCTCTTCAGGTCATCCTGATGGGGGTGTCAGATTGTCCAGTACACTGGACGCCATGCATTCGAGGAGCACTTCAAGGGGGAAAATGTACAAAAAGGTACTGCTAGTCATACAGAGATGTACTAACTTAGAGATAACACCTTACTTCAGCAGGATAAAATGAACAGAAATAGTATCCTTTTTTTAAAAGTAGTAATTATTACCCTTTATTACAGTTGTTTGGCATCGAAAGAAAATACAGTAAGCCCCTACCAAATATTCAATGAGGTTTTTTTTCTTTTTCTTTTGCCAAAACAGCCAAACATTACACTCTATACTCTAATCTAACTGTCAACATTAGCTCTGTGAAAAGTTACTAATGTTTTATTTTTCTCTCTATGTTGTGTTTTAATTTGCTGGTGTGTTATTTTCTTTTCTCGTTATTTTTTTGATGTGTTGTCTATTTTTGTGTGTTTATTGCAATGTCAATATCATTTAATTTGATGTTATTCCTTCCTTTAAAAAAAAATGCCTTATGTGACAGCGTGTCTCCACCAAAACTGAATACATATTCATGTACAATGTAGTGACACTGGCAGGCCCCTTGTGTGTGATTCTATAATTTACATGTAATATCCTGTACTTTTTCTTGAATAATACACATTTAGGGTTAAAATTAAAACAGCCACTTCTCGGGTAGGTGGACACATGCCCTTATTAGTTGGTTTTTGTGGTTATTTATGTTCTGTTCTAGTTTTCATTTCATTCTGTTCTGAAATCTTTATTTTTCACGTTTTTACACTCTGTGTGGCTACAATTAATGATCTTCTGGATGCTTGTAACAGAACACAAAAAATTCTGGTGCTTTAGATTAAGTTACCTCTATCAACATATTTCTAATCTATATTTGTCGTCATAGAGAGTTGAAAGTTTGAAAATGATTGGCTACTTTTATGGCAACTTTTGGACAATATAATGGAAACAAACACAGATGCTAGCCCTGTAAAGTGCGGTAGCCAAGCATTCACACACATTTCAAGGATGTGAAAAACGATTCTCCTGTGCCATTTCCTCCTTTTTTTTGGTTGTTCCTCAAGTTCCTGTAGAAGTAAGGAATGCTACATGTCACACTTGTCAACCCCATCATGTAGTTGGCATTGGTTGCTCAGAAGTAGTTGGCATTGGTTGCTCAGAAGTAGTTGGCGTTGGTTGCTCAGAAGTAGTTGGCGTTGGTTGCTCAGAGGCAGTTGGCGTTGGTTGCTCACTCAGAGGCAGTTGGCGGTGGTTGCTCACTCAGAGGCAGTTGGCGGTGGTTGCTCACTCAGAGGCAGTTGGCGTTGGTTGCTCACTCAGAGGCAGTTGGCGTTGGTTGCTCAGAAGTAGTTGGCGTTGGTTGCTCAGAAGTAGTTGGCGTTGGTTGCTCAGAGGCAGTTGGCGTTGGTTGCTCAGAAGTAGTTGGCGTTGGTTGCTCAGAAGTAGTTGGCGTTGGTATCTCAGAAGTAGTTGGCGTTGGTATCTCAGAGGCAGTTGGCGTTGGTATCTCAGAAGTAGTTGGCGTTGGTTGCTCAGAAGTAGTTGGCATTGCTTCCTGTGGGTTGGGCCTGTCGTCAGTAACCATTGCAGGCATGAAATCTGCATCAGTGAACCGTGAGGGTTCGTTAAGTGGCCAGACTCCAGTCACCCTGAAACGTGACTGAATGTTCTGTGGTGATGCAGCCTGAATCCATGCCCTACCAATCAGTGGCGCCATGTCGTAAATTGTGCTGTCCCCGTGGTTTTATGTACCCCGCATAATTTAGCAAAATTTGATCATTTTTTGCATAATTACTGGTTATTTTCCTTTATCATTCTTTGTTAAAATTAACAGAATCGCATAATTTCACATTTTTGGGCTCATTTTGCATAATTTCAGAATTTTTCTTGCCTAAAACGACGGAGACAGATTGTGATGGGCCTACCGGGGTTCTGCATCATCCAAGAGTTTGCAGCAGAATTGAAAAATACTGTTTCACAAGCCCATACACACACACACACACACACACACACACACACACACACCTGTCCGGCGGTTGTGTCTTATTGCTAGTGTGAGGTGGCAATGTCAGTAGCCTACCTGGACTTTGTTGTGTTTGGCCTTTTGCAAAGCCTGGAGAGACACATGGCTTTCAAACATATGTACAAATGTTTTAAACTAGTACAATCACCAAAATGCCAGTGTGGAGAGGCGGACCAAACTGTTGAACACATCCTTCAGCACTGCAAGACACACAGGGCCCTGAGACAGGAAACGTGGCCAACCCCACTGACGCTGCAAGAGAAGCTATACGGGCCGACAGATGAACTGAGCAGGACGGCCCAATTTATGACAGATACCAGACTTCAAGTGTGATGTGATCGAGAAGAAGAAGACATGGCTTTCATGATTGTCCATCAGTAGGATACATGGTTTGTCCTCAGTAGACATAGCATGTTTGATGAAGTGGTCAACGACTTGCTCAAAACTGTCTTTAGTCATCCATCCTGAAGGATGGGCGATCCTCAAAGTCCCCTCCAGAGCACCATAATTTCAGCTCTTCCCTCATCCGAGAGTTCATTCGCATTTTTAATGTAAGTGTTTGCAAAGTCACCCCGATTTACCGAAGTGTAAGAGTTCCGAGTGAGTACAAAACAAAAGTTTAGTGAGTGCAGACTCAAAAATGATGTATCATGTAAGTGTCGATGACGCGGGGTTTAGATGTGTGTCACTGAGTTGTGTCCTTGAGTGAGCAAGACGCGATAACCCTAGCCTAGCTACCCCCCCCCCCCCCAAAAAAAAGGGGCGCTGTACAGTGATGACCAGCAATGACATGTTTGTAAAACTGTTCCCCATTGGTGTAATTTTGGGTATTTGATGTATGCTTTGTTGTGTATACAATTATGTTTTTAAAAAACTATGTAGGCCTACATGACACATTATATTATATTATTTTGTGTAACGATTTTATGTATGTTTGTTTGCCAATGCAATCCAAACGTCCCCCCGGAGATCAATAAAGTGTTATCCGGCACATATATATATAATGTTTATTTTATTAATTATTTTATTTTTACTAACGTACTAAAGTGTTTATTTTTATAAATAGGTCATGCTACGACCTAGTTGTGTTACAATATACTAATAACATAGTTGATTCGGTCCGAGCCGTTGATACACTTATAAATGACAGTGGGTGGTTGGAGGGTGCCGCTGGTAAATCTAGGTCCTACTTCTTCTATACTTTCCCGTTGTTGTTTTTGTCACAGTGTCACAGGTCTGTCATCCTTTTTCTCAGCACTAATACTATAACTAATACTAATAAATGAGCATTATTATAATACATATATATATATTGATGTGCGTCTCTTTACTTAAAAAAACAAACAAACAAACAAACAAACTCAAACAGCAGGTGGTTGGACAATATATAATGGCGCCACTCCTGGTGGTAGTGGTAGGTCCTACTGTGCTTTTTTTCTTTACTTTCCCTTTGTTATTGTTAATTTCTGTCTGTCTGTCTTACTTTTTCTCAGCACTAATAATGTGAACATTAGGCCTACTATCATAATGATTATTACTTCTATATGGTTTTCTTTATTCAAACAAACAAACAGTTGGGATCAACGACGAACACTCTCCCTCTGACTGACCTTAAAAATAAGTCAAAAACTACATATATACACTATGACTATGATACACCTCTAGTCTGTGGGAGGCTTATTGGAAAAAGCGATAAACGACAAACTCCACTACAATTAAGCCCAAACTTGGTCCACGAAAACCTTAGGGCTTAGGGCCTCTCCAGAAGAGACGAAGTCATTTTTACTCGATTACGCATCGGACACACAACCCTGACACATACATTTTATAGGCCTACCTCCTCCAGGGAGATGAGAAGCAGTTCTGTACGACACAGATTTTTCAATTAGACACATTTCAACAGAATTAGAAAATGTCTAGACTTCGGAGAGACTCGAAGGAAATATTTTAGATGATCAGATGCAAAAAATTGCAAGATATCCGTTTTCCGTCGTTGATCCCAACAGAATTCTTGGGAAGTTGTAAATGGAACTGTTACAATTTTAAATGTTATTTAGATTCTAGAAAATTATTTTACATAAAAAATTTATTTACATCGAATTTTTAGCATTTTAACATTTTTTATAAAAAAATGTTTTCCAAAATCAGGCCGTGCGGTGAACTTTTGGGAATAAAACCAACTTGTTTCGCCCGCTCATGGCCTAGTCTTCAAAGTCAAAGCAGTTCATTCTCAGTTCTTTAGACTGCGAACATCATATTTTAACATCTATGATGGGGGGGGGGGGGTGGTTTAAAAAAAAAAAATCTCAATCAATTTGATTTTGGCGGCGTATCCCGCAGATAACGCGAAATTAATTACTTTTGATCCAGAGACTCCAAAGTGTCGCACGAATTCTCTCTTTTTTTGACTGCCAAAACTGTTGTACTACACAACCCTCACTCACATCCGGTTCAATGAATCAATTGACGATTTGATTCGCTAGGGCCATGAAAAGCCGTTAGAAGTTCGGTGAGTGTAGAATTCTGTGGGTTAGTTTTAAGTTTAGCCCTAACAAGCATTCCTCCTGCAATAATTTTGACTTTGAGGTTGAAATGTGAAGTTTTGTGGTCTTTTTAACATCAGCATTGTTGTTTTTTTTTAATTCCTGATCAATTTAGGTCTAGATATCTACGTTGTCTTAAATAGAATAACACATTTTGTGTGCAACAGTTTTACTAAGTTTTAGTTTTAAATGATGTGTGTAGATTTTGGACAAGTGTGACCAGTAGTGACACTTTCTTCTGACTTCAGACCTATCTGTGTGGACTGGGGTGACTGATTCAGATGATTTTCATGTAGATTTAGCGCTGATGAGGATTTGAAATGCAAAATTAGATTTAAGATATCTAGATCTAGATCTAGAAATCTAGACTGTTTAGAGAGTTGTTGTTTTTTTTTGGTGCTTTTACTTTTTCGGTAGTTGAGTTCCCACCCCCCAATCAATCTAGCATCTCTGCGTTTGTTGCCATTTTATTGTTCAAAAGTTGCCACAAAAATGGCAAAAATTGCCATAAAAGTTGCCAATAATTTTCAAACTTTTAACTCTCTGTGACGACAAATATAGCATAGCAATTGAAGTCTATATGTTGATAGAGGTTGTAGATCTAACTTAATGTAAAGTAAAGCCCCAGAATTTCTTGTGTTCTGTTTCAAGCATCCAGAAGATCATTTGTAGCCACACAGAGTTATAAAAACGTGAAAAATAACAGGTTTCACAACAAAATAAAATAAAAATTAGAACAAGTCATATTTATACAACCACAAAAATGAACAAATAAGGGCATGTGTGTGTTCACCTCTCCTACCCTATGAGTGACCGTTTTAATCCTGAACGTGTGTTATTCAAGAAAAAGTACAGGATATTTCATGTAAATTATTGAATCACACACAAGGGGCCTGCCTGTGTCAGTACATGTACATGTATTCGGTTTTGGTGAAGACACGCTCTCACATAACGCTTTTTTTTTTTTAAGGTAGAAACAACATCAACTTAAATGATATTGACATTACGATACACAAAAAAATAGACACAACACATCAGAACAATAACAAGAAAAAAAATTAACCGACCAGCAAATCAAAACACAACATAGATTTAGATCTAGAGAGAAAAATAAAAAAGAAACAGATAGTATTTCAAGATCTAGATTCTACTACTCAAAATACAAAATCGAGTTCTGTTTTGCGAGTTTCGAATGAAATAGATATGCCGAAATAAGGAGGGTTGGAACTACCGAAAAAGCGCTGTTTTTATGTGTGTGTCTACAATGTTGGATTTTCCCCGTTGCAAACGGGCTAGGCTAGGTTATTTTGCAACTATTGCTCCAGATCTACAATATAACGGGATCTATTTCTTGATGTAGATCTAGCCTAATAATAGAGTAGCCTTTAATGAAAGAATACTTTTTTTGGAACCTGGGACTTAAGGCTTCAGGTTTTTATTATGTATTTTTAAAATTCAGGCCTAAGTTAGTACATGTACTTTCATTGTCTTTATAACTGTCTCTGGTGGTATAGGTTGGAGGACAGAACCAAGACCAAGTTTGGAACAAATTATAAAAACATTTTGAATGTGGACAGGAAGAAGATGGAAGGGACAATATTTTCCTCGGGACACATTAACGACGACAGTCTTATGGAAAAAGAACAGTCATATTGTGAACCTTTCTGTGCACCGGATATAGATGAAGGCGTAAATCCTGATGTTTCTCCGGTTGTAAAAAGTGAACCTGGGACATCTAGGGCTAGGTCTTATTGTAGCAGTGATAGGACTGATACTGATACAGATGGAAAACCTGACGGTGGGAATGTGGATGCTGTGGTAAAAGAAGAGTTTGGTTCTAGCTATGTGCTCAATCTTGAAGGACAAAAACTTGCTGTTGTTGATAGTGGAAGTTTTGATGGAAAAATATTTCATAATAATTTTGAAGTACCATGCAGTGTAGACAATGATGTCAGCCAGACTGTTGAAAACAAATGTATTGACATTGAAATTAAAGATGAGCCTTTGCTTTTGTTTCCCGAAGAAGACATAAAAACTAATATGAGTCCGAAAAGTGCTGATGGTGTAGAAGACGAACTGCAGTTTCCTGATCATAGTCTGGAATTGAAATCAGAAATAGAGAATTATTATGTGAAGCAGGAAGTGTTGGAACAGGAGTGTGTATCAATGTTGGATCGTTCCAGTGAGGCTGGAGGAAAACAACTGCAAATCTGTGATGTGAGGAGTTTGTGTGTGGAGCAGAGTTCAAACCCAGACACTGATGCTGTTGTGTCCACGGTCAGCGGCTCTACTTCAACTTTTTCTGCTGATCCAGCTCTTTTCAAGTACAAGATCTCAAATTCATGCTCTGCTCAATCGGGCATCGGGGATCAAGGTAAAAAAATATTATCTATCATTCTATCTATCTATCTATCTATCTATCTATCTATCTATCTATCTCTATCTATCTATCTATCTATCTGTCTATCTGTCTCTCTGTCTATCTATCTGTCTCTCTGTCTATCTATCTATCTATCTATCTCTCTGTCTATCTATCTATCTATCTATCTATCTATCTATCTTGTAAGCTCATGTCCCCACTCGAAAGCAAGCTCTATGCGCTTTACACTCTATATTATTACCCCAGCAGACCATAGAACACTCAGAAACATTCTCAGCTTCCCGGGAAGCATACAGTGCAAGTAGCTGGTTAAGCGCTCAGACACTAACAAACTGACAAGATCTTTTATTGTCTATATAGATAGCTGGGTACCCATTCCCACCTGGGTGAAGTGGGGAAAATTTGTGTTAAGTTGCTTTCCCAAGAACACAACGTCAGATCCGCAACCTCACGATTACGAGTCCGTAAGCCTAACCACTAGGCCATGGACGTCATATCTATCTATCTATATATCTCTCTCTCTCTCTTTCTCTCTCTCTCTCTTTCTCTCTCTCTCTCTCTGTCTCTCTCTGTCTCTCTCACTCTATATATGTTTGTGCGTGTATGATCACACGTTGATTATATAATCTAATTAGATGAGGTATCTATCAAAATATTACTAATATGCTGTGTCGTGTAACAGAGTGAATTTTTTTGTTATTTAAAAAAATCTATTTCCCTGCAGGACACAGTGTAGTCCACACTTGGAACACTATATATTCAATTTTAATTATAGGTGCAGCTTTGTTCATTTTCACCATTTTGACCCTAGAACGTTTGACTCTAGATTTTCATTTTATTTGGAAACACGGTTCGGTTAAACAAAAAATAAGTTTTAAAAATTCTCTGCTCTTGATCTCCATCAACCCCTTTTAAAAAAAGAAAGTACATTGTACCACCATGTAGGGGGCAGAGCGGGTTTTCCCGCTTTTCTTTGTTATAGTGTGTGCATACTGCATATGGATGTGTACAGTCAATGATAGTAAATAACAAGATGGGCCACTCAGCCAAAAAAGTGTCCGCAGGAAGTATGCTCTTTGCTTCAGATGGCGCTGCAGTCTGTTTTGAAGCTCTCTTTCGTTTTTCCAGAAGAAGAATAGGAATAGCACCTCCTTGCGTGCGCAGATCGACTGCTGTTCATCAGCAGTTCGGGTACGTTCAGTGCGGAGTTTTAGGTTTTTTAAATTTTAATGACCTCTCGCCTTTCATTCTAAAGTCAAATTACACGAAGAAAACCATCACCCTTTCCTCCGGAAGAGGTTTTTGGTCAGGGTAACCATTTTAAAAAAGCGTTCTTCCGAAATTTATCCCAAAACTTGCTAGTTTCACTTTGGTTTTTTAAAACTCAAGTAGGGTAACTCTGTTCGCAAAGAGTGCGCTTTTGTGAAGAGGGCGCCACCAAATTTTGAGGACACTTTTTTAATTGGCTCAAAGAGAGAAGTGGCCCATCTTGTCTTGTACTATCTTTGGTACAGGACATAAGGGGGTGAATTTCCTTCTTGGCACAATGATCTGAAGGCTCAGCTCATTCCAAGAGCAGTCCGCCAAAATGTGAAAAAAAATGGAAGTGATGAAATCAACTCAGCGCCATGTACGTGAAATATATTGTCTAGATAGAGGAAGGTTTATAATAATTGTTGTAGTTCTGAACTCAGAAACTGATACAGTAGAAACCATCTCTTTCATACAAAAATCACATCATGGGAAAAAATGTAAAAGAAAATATTACGACAAAGACAAAAATACCATTAGGGAAGACTTTATTTTTTGTCGGTGATATAGAGGAAAATAATAAAGTAACCTGCTTATAATGTCTTTATAATTATGATATGTTTGTGTACTCTCCATACACTTTAATGAAATGCTAAAACAATTCCTGGTTATAGGCCATATAATATATGGGTCAATCCACCAATTTGTACGACAATGTGTGTTACCTAAATGAAATGACTGGTACAAAGTTATTTTTAATATAATATTTATATAAACATGCAACTGACAATTCCCTTACTTAAAGCAGTATTGGTAGTCGAGCTAGACTAAGCTGAACTTTGGTCAAATTGCACTTATATTATTGAATGTAATGTATAAAATATTTATATTTTCAGTTCTAAAAATCAAAATTTTAATAGGTGAAAATCGAACACAGATAGCGACATATTATTTTAGTGCTAAAATCTATTAAGACATGCAAATACATTTTTTTCATCTGTGTCTGATGCAGTTGAATAACTAAACTAAATGTACGGGGAAAAAAAATTTGAAAATCGTGACCAATAGACCCGGGAAGAACGTAAAATCTCGTCTAGATCTAATTCGTTACCTCGTCCGTCAGTTTCGCACATCTAAGAATTGGAAACAAAAATACCAGTCCAAAAGCCGTTTCCAGAAAAAAGGAATTTTTCTATCACTGTTAAGTGTTGGTTTGAACAATGCCTTCAAAACATGTCCGTCTGTGATCCACTGATCAGTACTTTTGAAACGTTTCGATCATACTTCTGTGATGTCACATTTTAACGAATTGGGTCCGCTTGTTTCGTTTTCCGAAGCTCAGAGCTAGAATGTCGACAGATTCATTTTTCGGTTGCCGGGCATTGTGGAGTCGCTTATGTGAAAGCGCGATGCATTTCAAAATGGCGGAACCCATAGAGCGTAAGTAATATGTTTGTGCCCTGCTCCTGATAATGTGTAAGTGTAACGATTAAGATTGCGTGTTTAGAAAGTTACAATTAATTCACTTGACCTTGAGTCTTTTCCTATGTATCTACGAGATGCCCTTTTTCCATCAATATCTGCGGTGGTTTTTTATTTGTGACAAGCTTCGGGAAGCGGCTAGCCAACAGTTGACTCACTTGTTTCGTTCAGTGAAAAATTTGGTGAAGTTAAAAGCTATACTTTTTGAACTGCAACGAACTAAGACAGACACCCCCGCATTGCGATAGAAGCTCTGTGAACGGAACCAAAACCGCTGTCATTTTTAGAGCGGAGATAGCCTCTAAACGACATATTATGGAAGCCTCTAAACGACATATTATGGGTCATTCCACTAGTACTGTTTACTGTTACTGCTCACTATTTTCCACCTCAATAATACCCACCAAAAGTCACCAACTACAGACACTCTGGTATGATTGCAAAGAACATGATGGTGGAGAAGCTTTGAAAGGCTCAAATATTTACTCAGAAAACATTTTGCATACTTTTGACCCGTGACTAATGAAAACAGTTGAGTTTTTATTCAAGTGTAAAAGTAACACAGAAGGGGTGCATCTATTTAAGCCTCAGCCATAGTCCCAAAGTAATGTTTGTATTCATAATAAATGTATTCCTTCAGCAACAGTAAGTTAAACACATGTTGCTCAACTCGGAGGCCATTTTCTCCTTTTCGTGTTTCCTCACCTCGCACAATTAAAAGTTCTGTACTTTTGTCAGATATGGTCATATTTACTTCATTCTTATTTTAAATTGTAAATGAAAAGGTGATAGTTTTTAAAAAATAATGTTAACTCAGTTTTGAAATTTCCTTAATATATGACTGATATTTACTGGCACGGACACATGTATGATCTTAAATGTATCATTTCCTCTTTGGACAGCAAGGGAAATTGTGTTTTGTTCAGATTGTATTAACCCTATCCGTACACCCTGGGGTCATTTTGTACCTCCGGGGTTGTATTCTTCACATTTTAGAATACTTCTTGTACGAAGATCTCTTTGAAACGTTCAGTATTTCTCAAAAAATCATTTTGACAGACTGCTATATGTAAAGCGTACGTATCTGATTAAGAAGTAGATAAGTGGTGGCGCAGAGTTCCCCACGTCATATGGATACGATAGTAAAACACGATGTACAGATAGGGTTAAGGCTGTTCCATAGTTAGTGTTGTCAAAAAAAAAAGTTATGGGTGTGTTTCCTGAAATGTGATGGCATAACAAATATCACATGACCATCATTATAACTGTAAATCACCCTGAAATCTTTTGAAACAGTTTGCTTTTAAGGATTTCTAACTAATATGTCTTAATAGTTACTTGGACATAGCTACTTGATGCTGTCCAGTTCTGATTAAGACTGTAACATTTCCTATTATTTAGTGCAGTTAACAAATGTTATGGCCATATTTCCTAACCTTTGATGGCATTACAAATTTCACATGAACATCATCAGAGTAGATCATCTTGAAATCTGTTTTAACAGTTTGCTTTAAAGGATTTATACCTATGTCTTAATTGTGACATGGACATAACTACTCCATGCAGTCCAGTTTGGATTTTTAATGACTGTTTCCAAGTCAGTTTTGTTAAAAATATTTCCTAACATATGATGATATAAAAAATACCCCGTTACCATTAAGAAAGCTGTCTAACAAATGTAGTCTTAATTATTACTTCGGCATGGCCAGTTAATGATGTCCAGTTTAGATTAAGACTGTTTCCTATTTTGATGCTGTTAGAAATATTATGGCCATATTCTGTCCTAACCTGTGATGGTATAGGAAAATACCACATTACCATTATCGCTGTGAACAATCTCGAGATCTGTTTAAATAGTTTGCCTTAAAAGATTTCTAACGAAGATGTCTTAATTTTTACTTGGACATAACTACATTATGCTGTCCAGTTCGGGTTAAGACTGTTTCCTAGTTTGTGCTATTAAAAATGGTCTGAGCGTATTTCCTTATGTGATGGTATAAGAAATATTAAATAAATCATTTTCACCGTAAACCATGTTGAGAGCTGTTTTAACAGTTTGCTTAAAAGAGTTTTCAGTCTTTTGTGTTACTTGGACATCACTAATAAATTGCATCCATTCGACAAAAATAAGAATTTTGTTATTAGATGCTCTACTAAAAAGATACAACTTAATTGTTGGTTTTAGTTTAACAAAAAGCCTAACTTCGTTTCAGAAGATGATGTCTTCAAACTTTTAGATTTTTTCTGTGTCGTGAGTTAGTTGTAAGTGGTGACATCAGTCCCCGTGGTCAAGTGGGTAGGGCGTCTGGCTTGGGGCTGGGAGGTTTCGGTTTTTAATCCCGTTAGGACTGGGTCATACATGTACATAGAACTTAAAATCATCAATCTGGCACTAAGGCCATGGTGAGACAATGCTACTTAGACAAGTTAACATGCAACCACACAATCACATTGGGTGTGTAGGATAAACCTTTGTCTTCTATCTTTTTTTTCTCTCCACGGAACCCTACGAAAGAGAAATCAGTCCATCCTAGGATTCCTTGATGTTGGGCCTGTCAAACTTTGGAAACCACGAAAATCACGCCAGGAGATCAACAAAACCTATTATGAGAAATTAAAGCAGGATGGTTCAAATGTGCTACAAGACAGACTGAAGAAACAGGTGGTCACCTCTAAACGATACAGACAAAACTTGAAAGCACCAGGCAATGAGGAGAAGCTCAGGCAAGACAGGGAAAAGTCCAAATTGAGGACAAGGGAGTTCAGAAAAAGACAACAAGAAAAGAATGAACATCAAAATTCAAATACCGTTTATAAATCAAAGACAGTGAGAACTCGACGGGGGATAGAAAATTTAGAACGCAAGCGAGAACAGGTACGTCTTCGGAAGCAGAAAGAGAGAGCTGCTTGGTCACATCAAAAACGAAATGCAGAGAGGGCCAAGAGCAAAGCTAGATATAATGCAAAGAAGAAAGAAAAAACCAGAAAAAAGATGAAAAAGAAAGAGGCAGAACGCCAGACTCAGGCTGACGATCCAAAGGGTGGCAGGTCCCATGCAGCAACCTGTCAAGCAACCTACAGGGTGCAGAAAGCTCTGCCAAAGGATGAGGTGGCCCGAAAAGAAATATTGATCTCTTTGTGCCTTAAAGAAGGTATTGCTGTTTTAGGAAGCCCTTCAGATTCATCTCTACCAGAAGTTAAGGACAGAAATTCGCAAACTAGCACACCACCGCTCTCATTCAGATAAAGGAAAAGGTCAAAGTGGATTCAAAACGGCTTTCCTACTTCAGTTTGAAACGGCTTTAAGTTAGGGCAGCTGAACAAAAATTTCAGTGGAAAAGTTTGGTTGTTTTTTTTTAAACAGTAGAAACCTCAGCAACAACAAAAGAACATGCAAAGAATGACTCACCACAAATCTGTCCTTGAAGGTGGACTTGATTCCCTCTACAAGACGGTCAAAGAAGAGACTAGCTTGGATATCAGTCGCGGCTTCTTCTTTAAACACAGGCCTGAAGCTGTGAGGAAAATGGCAGAGATCAAGCTGAATCAGTCCCTATGTGACATGTGTGAAAATATCAAGCTCACATAATGTGATGGGCTCGGTAGGTTCAACTCCCTTTTCAAAGCACACCAAACAGTCGTCATAGGTTCATTCCTGTACAACAAGGACATGCCTTTCCATGAAAAGTCCTGTCTTGATCGTAGCTGCAAAAACTGCAGTAACCTGAAGCCGCCGTCTTCATTTTTCAAAGAAGATGACTCGGACATGGCTGTTAGTTAGCCACAGACAGTGGCTTCTCAGAGAAACATCACGCACGGGATGTGAAGAGGGAACTAACTGCTCGTGACTGAGAATGTTGGTCCAGAAGACTGTCTGAAGACTTGTCAGACTCTGAAGACTTTTGGGGAGCATATGACAGCTTTGCCTCTACATATTATGTTCCATGCAAAATGGCGATATCAAATGTCCACAAGACAGGGCAGGAATGTAATGTAAGGGGAGGTGGTTCCTGTCACGGACTTTGGAGAAAATGTGAGGCAGCGTGGTGAAATCAGGCTCTCGTCAGAATAATCCAAACTGGCATTTTTCCGCAGATTTGTGAATTTTTATCAAATTTTTGTTTTTTGGCTCAACATCTTTCTTGCACATTAAAGAACACATTTTTGTGTGGATTTTACTGGAAAAAGTTGATTAAGGGCACAAAAAAAAAGGAAATTTTCAATTTCCATGTTCCATGGACTCTCAAGCTAAGGATTTTTGGCGGCCATTTTCTCACAAATTTTATCTATGAAACCAGGTGACCTTCACCTCCTTCATTCGCAAATATCTCGACCTGTACTCAAGATAAGTTGATATTTTTTCCATCCAAAGCAACACAAATAAACAAACTTTAAAAGGATACCAATAACTCTATGTATACCCAAAAATTGATGAGAGCCTGATTCCACCGCGTCGTGACACAAATTATGGACGTGCCACACAAGATAGAGTCCAATCAGCTTGTTGGAATTATAACCAGGCAACTATTCATCCTTTGGGAAATTACCTGCTTTGCCATATCTGCAAACTCTTAAAACACACTTGGTAGTGTGTATCACAGATGACTTTCAACGCGATTACCGTGTATCACAGATGACTTTCAACACGATTGCCATGCTGTAGAAGCTTTATTTTTTAGTTTTAGTAGAGGTTTTACGGCGCTCTCAACTGCATAAGGTCATATGAGCGCCAGAAGATTAGAGGTGTTACAAGAGAGTAACAAACATAAAAAAGAAGAAGGGGAGATAAGGATGAGAGATGTTTTAATAGGAAAGAAGAAGCAAACCACACCAGAGCACCCACCAACCACCCGCAGAAGCTTTCTTGGGGGGGGGGGGGGGGGTGGGGGTGGTGACTAGAGACATTAAGATTAAGAGAAAAGAATGAGATCACAGAGGCACGCCAGTGGACTGACAGCCGTGCGGCACACTATATATAAAATTGGTCTCGTTGCCCTTTTGTTATCATCCAAAAAGGCTTAAACTTAAAGAAGCATAACCACCTGGATTGCCTCGAAAGGAACTTCTTTGGATGGAGGCATGGGAGAAGTCCCTCAGGTCGTGTCACCAGCTGTCACCAAGAGCGAGGCAACGAGGGCCGTGAAATGCAGGCCAGCCTTAGTCCAATCTGCACATGGCCCCCTACTGCTTCCTCAGCAGAGACAACCGACGTGACAGTTCCTGAAAACTGCGAGAAGCATGCTGAAAGAACTGTTACCTTTGTCCTGAAGGAAAAACATCCTGAGATCGAATAATTTATACTGACAGTCACGCAATTTGCACGCCATTAGCTCTGGCCATGGGCTTGTGAATCACAAGGACCTTTCCTGCGTCTGCTCCAGCTGCAAGACAGGGTGCCCTTGCAAGAGGAGAGATTATGTTGAAGCTTGGCAGTCCAGAGATGATGTAAGTACTATTATATATATTAGAAAACAACCTAAACATAATTATTTTCCTCACATAGTTATAATACTGCTAACTGTTTATGCTCCAAAGACCAAAAAAACATTTTGAAGCAGTTTGAAAATTAAGAAACCAAGGATGTGGTTTGATTGACTGATATAACATGTAATTTGATTTTATTTAAAGAAGCAAATTTTAAAAACTTTGTCCACGGTATATTTTATCAAAACAAATACCCCCCCCCCCCCCTTTCCCCCAGTAAAACTAACAGACAGTTTTCTAGAGATTTTTTGAATTCAGGAAATTTTAAGTCTGTTCAGGAAATGTTGATTATCACATAACAAACATCAGAAGGTTGAGTATTTAACATAATGTCTAATAAGACTAAGAGCTTTTCTAGTGTTTTCAGTTGCTATTTCAGAATTGAAATCAAATTATGTTTTAGCCTAAGTACAATAATACTGAGTTTTTTTATCAGGAGGAAAGGGGGGGGGGGGGGGTAATTTTTTGGTTGAAGTGACTTTTCCTTGAAACATAAGGAGGTTTTCCTTTCACAATGTGTATTTGGATCAAAAATTGTGATTCTATTACCACGAACCTCTTTTTTCTTCATAATTAAAAATGCACTTTCTTTGACTCCTTTTCTCAACTTCCAGGAAACAGAGGAAGATGACCCAAATGACCATTCAGCACTAGAAGAATTCTCGTCATCAACTCTCAATCATCTTGAGAGTCTGAATGATGTAAGTAGATTTGTTAAATTTATGGCTGCATTGTTTTGTTTTTGTGGGGGGGGTTTTTGTAAGCTCTCGGGTCTGAGGCGGATGCATTATCCACATGGCCATCAAGACTGGTGGTTCCATTGTTTCGAAGCAAACTGTCCATCCACTGTCCATCCATTCATGCGTGTATCAAAGTTTTAAAATGTTTTGCAGACTTAATTTATATAGTACATAGTTTGAAAAAAATCATGCTCTCCCTTGCTGTGATACTGGAACATTGTGTGTACATGTAACCATAATGAAGTTATATGTCATATGTGCCCTTCCAGGAACCCACTGATGTGTCTCCCCCCCCCCTCCCCTC